ATTAAATATATACGCATATATTATATGGGTGTATAGAGAGCCCCCTAGCGTTGCTGTTCGTTTTTATTAAATTACGACCGTAGTTAATTGAAAGTTAAAACCAATTATATTTACGTTACTACCTGAGAGCTTATCTCCCCCTGTCTCAGCCCACTTTCGGCCTGCTGCTTTAATTAAGCCGGAAAACCGCTGTAGTTGCAGCAGCTTTGCCAGTGTAAGTCGCTGACGTTGGAAAACTTTAACCTCCCTTCCCACCCACAGACACCAACACAACCATCCGACTTGTAATAAAAAAAGAAAATTGACATATTGCTGCAGTTCCTGTGGCCTGCTTGATGATCTCCTGTTCCACTTCACACAGGAGCTGTAGGGCCTGTTGAGGCATCATGTTCCCAGTTCATCTGCACTTCTACGTATTTTGAACCCGTTCTGTCTGCCACTCCCCCATTCTGGCGCCCTCCAGCCCACTCCCAGCTGGTTGACATGCATGTTAGTTAGTTCTGCCTTCTGCTAGTTAGCTCTAAAAAAAAAAACACGCTTCGGCTCTGACAGCTTCTTTTAGCTGTGGCTCTCGCACAACTTTCAGCTTCAATTGCGCTTCCGTTTTGTACTCGTTGCGTTTTGGCTATTGCGTATACGCGCCGTGGTACCGATGAGCTACTCGCTACTTTTTCCACATTTCGCTTTTATTCTACTATGCATAAGTGTGTGCGAGTGTGTTTGCTGATGTGTGTGTGTGTGTGGTTGCAATTTGGTGTGTATTTACGATTCTGTTTTGTTGTTGCTTTCGTTGTGCTGGTTGTACAACTGCGGCAGCCATTTTGTATAGCATGCTTAGCGCGTACTATGAAGTTACACACACTCGCACAACAAGTGAGAGTGAGGGAGAGAGGAAGCGCGAGCGAGAGCGAGAGAGGCAGAAAGATGGATAGTTAGAGCGAGTGAGGAAGTCAGAGAGGGAGAGTTATACACACTCTCACACATAGCGAGTGAAATTCCTTCTTCTGTTTTGTGTTGTTGTTGTTATTTTTTATTTTTGTGCAGATTTTCGGCATCTAGAACAAAAATTTCCCAACTTTTTCGCTTGGAATATTTGATATTATTTTTTCTCATTTACTGTTTGCTGTTTGCCTCACCAAAAGCAACGATTGGCACAGCACCACAATCGACAACAGTTAGCCAATACAACAACAAAAACAAGAACAACAACAATAGACAATATACTATACACAGCCAGCAAGAAAATGGCCCTAAAGAAAGTTTTCAATTCGAAATGGAAGAAATGCATTTCTGCTTATTTTCTCGCCCCTTAAAAAGTAAACCTAGCCAAAAACTATGAGCAAATGGTCCTCTACATGCATGAGTAGCTGCTGTAAATGAGTGTACGTGTGTGTGTGTGTGTGTCTGTAGAAGCCGAAAGTAAAATGTTAAAAGTGATATTATACGACGCCCCTGAAATAGCGAGTAGCTTCGCCTGTTGTTGCTCTAATAAGGCATTGCAAGATTTTCAATTTAAGCAGACTTGTATGTGAAAAATTATAATTGATTTGCTTGATTTGCAGATCAAAAATTGTATTTATTTATAATATATAGACTGGGCTATATATCAGCAAAAATTCATATTCAATTTATGCTTTAACGTTTTGTCGGACACATGTATGCTTTAGTTGCAACAATTGCAACAATTAAGGTTAGGCATGATTTCATAAATGAGAGCATTTTACACAGCTTTATAAATATCGAAAATTTAGGCTTCAACGAAACCGAGAAATTCGCAATATATATTTTTCTGAAATATGCATAATTTATATATGAACTGTGTGTTATAAATTAATGCATATTTTTTAAATTTATAATGGCAGAATGCAGTATATATTTTTATAAATGAATATATATAATGTTTATTGTTAATTTATACATATTTCTGTTAGATTATAATTGTGTAGAAAAACTTCTTTATTCAACATTTACTAGAATCTTATTCATGATTTGTTTATATTTTAATCATTTACTTTTTGAATTCATAAAATAAAATATTAAAAAAAAAAATTTAATAATAATAATAATGTTAATAGTAATTAAATAAATAAGTAAATAAAAATATTGCATACAAAAAGTTATTCAGGTCATCAGCTATAAATATATGAAGCAGAGTAATCCCCTTAAGATTACGACTTCGGCAAAATTAAGTTAACTCAATACTTAGCTTTATCAGTTTAATTTAATTTACATAGATCTATATTTTCAATATTCTTCGTGGAATAATTTTCTTACTGCAATTCTCGTAAGACGGCGCAAAGGTGCATAATATATAATAATTTTAGGAACCACAAATTATTCCAAGAACTGAAATAATTGTTGGTATTTCCCGGAACTGTGCGGAATATAATATATAATAATTAGTTGCAGAACAAATCCCACAAATACACTGGCTTATTGAAAGCTCATTGCCAAAATAATGGCTGTGTTTACAGCTAGAGTCACCTGTCGAGCAATTAGGGCGCCTCTATCATTGACCCATTTTCGGTTGTTTTTAGGCACCATTAACAATTCAGGCAGCTTGCACAATTGTTAGAGACAAATTGAAAACGGTCCTCGACAAATGTCAAACAAAACGAATCATCGATTTTCTGCTCTGACCATGAGCCAGGGCTGTCAAGGGGGCGGCTGAACGTGCGGGGGGATGGCTTCCTTTCAGGGCCTTTATTGCATTTTTCGTGTTCTATTGTGCAAAAATTGTTCAATGCCTGGCGGCTGGGCTCAAAGTGCATTTGGTAGTTGACAGTTTCTGGATATTTGATGTTATTTGATGTTATTCGATGCACAATCCAGGGGCAAGCGAAAGAGCTGGGTGTGGGCTTATCGCCGTGGGCGATACTCTAGGCGATTTGTAGTGCATCAATTGAATTGCTGTGTTCACCGAGGGAGCCTAAGAAAGGATGTAGTTAGAGCAGCACTGAAATTTAATGTATATATATATATAGACAATCGATCATTGGAATATAAATAAATATTAAATAAACTATTCTGTTCTTAAAGGTATTATTCAGAACTAGGGCGAGGGCTTGGAAATTTCTAACCCTTACGCATTTTAAAGACTAAAGTTAATTGAGCTTGAGTCTTACCGATGAAAATTATTATATATTAT